AAAAAAAAATAAAAATAAAAACAAATGGCAAAGTTTGGGAAGGGAAACACCAGAGCCCCTTGTGAATGAGGGGTCACCAGGAGCTCAGCCTGATCGTTCCATTTGCAGATGAAACCTCTGGTCTGTGTGACACAGCCAGCTGCTCTTTCAGTCTGTCACATTGGGACATTTGTTGCCAGGCAGGATGGTCCCACTCCTCAGATGAGGGGATGGCTACACTTAAGAGCACCGTGCTGGCTGACACCCAAGACCGAGCTCTTGTGGCCCATTATTTCTCTTTTGTGGCAAGTCTGTGGTTTATATGTGCCTCAAGAGCCTGCTGCAGACAGTTCTCAGCTGTTTCGGAAGCCCACCTCCTTTGCCACACATTACTGGGCAAATTTTGCTTCTCCAACTTACCTGGTCTGAACGGAAGTAGCTCAGCCTTAGGTGTAGGTTGCTCACGTTACCTCCCAAATCTTGACTCTCTGGGGCCTTGGAGTCCTCCACCTGTGTCTCGGGCTGTGACCCATGCCTGAGAATTGGCAGCCTCTTCTCTCCATATCTGATCCTAACATCTGAATCACAAAATCCTCTTCACTTTTCTTAACTTGAATCAGTTCTCCTACAACTTGTTCTTCTCAGTAACAGAAGGGGTAGAGGAAAACCTGGCTCCTTTGCCTCTGGTGTTAAAAAAAAAGAAACAGAAGAGCAGCCTGGTGTGTGGGAGACAGGGTCAGTTCAGGAGCTGGGAAACTGGGTGTCCTGCTCTTTTCTGCCCCTTTTGCTCTTGGCCTTGGGCCCTACCCAGACAGTGTGCAGAGTGCTTTTAGTAGTGAAAAACACAACTGGAAGACCACTGTTGTCTGCTCCCTTTGGGGGAACAATTGTTTATTGGTGTTCCCGAGAAGAGTCCTTTGCTTGTCACTGTGCCACTTGTAAAAGTAAGACATTCTCGGGGCCGGGGAGATGGCTCAGTAGAATAAGCGCTTCCCTGGCAAGCGCAAGGGCCTGAGTTCAATCCCTGGTTCTACCAAAAACAAAAAAAAAAAAAAGTAAGACATTCTCCCTTGCTTCCTTCTCAGATTCAACTTTTGTTGGGTTTTTTTTTAAATTTTTTTT